AGAAATCTTTGAAGAATGTAAATCATAGAATGTTTTTATAAATCGAAATGTGTATCTACCCAAAATTCAGCTTTGAATTGTAAAATACAAAACCCAATAAAACTAAGTCATTCTTTAATTAGAAAAAGATTTTCGTGGCTTTTATGAATAAGGAAAACTATTATTATTATTATAAGGAAACTATTGTTTGAAACCAAAATATTTTTTCGATGAAAAATGAATTTTTACAAGAATTGTTTTCTTTTCTTTCAATTTTAAATAGAAAATGTAATAAATAGTTTAAAATTAAGTTTAGATCCATGTCTTTTTGGAAATGTTGTTATTAAGTAGATATAACTCTACTGATCATAAATTTGAAAACTTATTACAATCTGCATCTCGAAAATATTAAAAAATATATATATTAAAAAGGTTTTCTCCAAAACTATGGATGCACGGTTCAGAAATAATAGGTCACATGTTTTAAGAGTTGTTTCTCCTGATAGCAAAGATCAGGCCTCAGAAATTGCTTTGCATCCCTTCTTGTTAAATTCTCTGACTGACCATCATCGTCACATTTTCAAAATTTTTAATTTTCTTTTTTATATCAGAGTTCACTGAATATTTTATTTTCATTTTTTAAATATAATTAATTTATTGTTTTTCAGTAAGGGACATACTGCAATTATTAATTATTTTCTTTTTTAGATTCAATTTTAGGGACAGAAACAGCGCAGGCTTTAGATATATCTTCGTTAAAAAAAGTACCTAAAAATCAATAAACTATTAGACTTTTGAAAGCATTTAATTTTCTAAAATTACTGTATAGTTTTTTTTTAATTACTGTATAGTAAAATAAACTGGTTCATTGAAAATTCGAAAATACTGTCACTTCTGTCCTTCCGTCCGATAAATTCCCTTGACGTCAGTTGTCGATACATTGACGCAAACGTCAATTCACACCTCCGAAACAAATCACCACAGTTAGACATACTTCTCTTATTTTCAACTAATTTTTTTCTGCTAAAAACTTAAGTAATGTTTGTTTCCATTTACATTAAGTAAACTTTAAATTTTCTAATTTTTCCCAAAACAGAACTTCTGGTATGAAACTCGTTTATCTCGAAAATATTTTAAAATATCTATCGACCTATGGTGGACTCTCGCTTCGTGTTCGACATATGAGGGCCAAGCAGCTCAGTTCCTAGGTACTGACAACCCAGACACCAGCACATATGATTTAATTATTGTGGTGAAGGGTTTGTGCAGAACCAACCACACTTTTCGAAGGGACGAATACTACGAGCCATAAGATTCCCAAACGACCCTCCGTAGGTTTTGAATTCAAAGTTGTCCTTCTCCTAGACCAATTGCCATCCAAGGCTATAGAACCCAGTCTGTCCTGTTATTTACCCATAGCTGGAGGGAGAAGATGAAGATTAATACTCTTGGTACTATCGACCTATATATATAATATATATATATATATAATATATATATATATTATATATAATATATATATATATATATATATATATATATATATATATATATATATATATATATATATATATATATATATATATATATATATAAATATATATAATATATATATATATTATATATATAAATATATATATATATATATATATATATAATATATATATTATATATATATATATATATATATATATATATATATATATATATATATATATATATATATATATATATATATATATATATATATATATATATATAATATATATATATATATATATATATATATATATATATAATATATATAATATATATATATATATATATATATATATATATATATATATATATATATATATATATATATATATATATATATATATATATATATATATATAATATATATATATATATAATATATATATATATATATATATATTTTCAGATAGTAACATTTGAGTGTTTGATGATGACCTAAGTGGTACGCCACACAAGAGAAACATCGTGAAACCTAATGACATACTTAAGATATTGACGTTGCAAACAAAAAGTTAGGAAGTATGCCTCCATCAATATTGGAAAGAGCGATAATAGTTACTGGACTTGAAAAACCTATTATGCTGAAAAATTATTTTAAAATTTTTATAAATTCTAACCGACAGTAGCACTGGTTGTTCGGTCAATGAATACCGTATGACTCCTTATAAGGAAACAGCTATTATTACAATTATAAGGAAACAGATAGTAATACAATTATATGGAAGCAGGTAGTATTACAATTATAAGAAAACGGCTACTATAACAATTATTAGGAAACAGTATTACAATTATAAGGAAACTGATAGTAAAAACGATTATATGGAAGCAGGTAGTATATCAATTATAAGAAAGCCGCTAGTATAACACTTATAAGAAAGCCGCTAGTCTAACACTTATAAAGAAACAGTTAGTATTACATTTATAAGGAAACGGCTCGTATAACACTTATAAGGAAATAGCTATTATTACAATTATAAGGAAACAGATAGTAATACAATTATATGGAAACATATAGTATTACAGTTATAAGGAAAAAGCTAGTATAACGATTATAAGGAAACGGCTAGTATAACACTTATAAGGAAAAAGCTAGTATAATAATTATAAGGAAACATCTAGTATTACATTTATAAAGAAACGGCTAGTATAACACCTATAAGGAAACAGCTAGTATGACAATTATAAAGAAACAGCTTGTATTACAATTACCATTGAGCAATGTTAAGAGAATCTGAAACACTGCCGACGTTTATTTTATGGTTTGTGCTAAGGTGCAATTGTCATTATCCTTGTATTTTTCCAGCTGGATAAATATACTGTTATTAAGTCATAAAAGTGAATGACAGTCTTTGATGTATTTGTTTGATGAAACCAACCCGTCGCATAAAGAAATTGGTAATCAACGAGAATAGATCTTAACAAAGCTTAACTGAGACACAAAAAGTACCATGTATTAAGGTTTGAACATAACAAACAACCAATTAGTTTGAATATCTGCCACTCACCTTATTATTCTGAAGCAGGTGTCTAATACTTTGAGACGATACTGAAGAATTCTCGGCACGACCCATTTCCGAAAATCATAAAGATTTTTTGGCGGGAGAATATATATATATATATATAATTATTTATTTATTTAAAAATATGATTCCAACACGCTACATAAGAGTTCTCAAGTTTCAAAACAAGAGCCGAAAACTTCAATATAATTATTTGAATTAAATTGAATTAAAAAGCTTTTTCCATCTTTCAACTTTTTTTAGAATTCCAAAAGAAGATTTGTTTGAAGATGGAACAGAGCTTAGTTTTTTAATTCAAATAATTATATTGAAGTTTTCGGCTTTGTTTTTGAAACATGAGAACTCTATGTAGCGTGTTGGAATCATATTTTTAAATAAATAATTATATTTATGCTCTTTTTTCGAGCACTATTTTTTAAAAATAATAATAAAAATACTAAAGAACTTCGGATTATTTACCTAACCAGTTCTTTCCTATTTTCTATTATATTTTTCACACACACACACACACACATATATATATATATATATATATATATATATATATATATATATGAGAAAGAAAGATAGGTAGATAAATTTTTTGTGTCATTTTACTTCACATGTCCTTTACAACTTCCTCTGTCCATGGTATTCTCAGCATCCTTCTGTCGAAGCACAATGGACGATTGATATGTCATAATTTCTGCAATACTCAATAACATCAACTATGAACACGGCCACAATATGATGACCATGTTTGGAAAATAAAAACATTCCTATAACTCTAGATATATACATAAACAAATCCATACATTCAGTTAAAAGTAAAAATAAAATCATCCTTGATAATGTAAAGGCAAACTATGGAAGAAGCTAAGTGATATAATTTAATACCTAATAAATAATAATCAGTAAATTTTATTGTTGAATTTTTATTTTCTCTTTTATCGTTATTGGATGATATCCCCCCAGGGGACGAAATTCGTTGATAAAGACAAAATTACATTTTTTCTTTATTCATACTGTCTTTTTACAGATATATTTTATTTATATATGAATTTTTACATATATAAAGAGTGTTCCAAAAACTTGGACCGATTTTAAATGTGAAGTTTAAGCGATTAATGAGTTTCTAGGTTTTTTTTTCAGATTTGGCGGACATTGGCGATATTATTTTTCACGCATAATTGCCATGATTTAAATAACATGATCCAGTAGAGAAATAAATACATTTTCACCAATAACACTGATTTATTTAATGCTGACTTTGATCCGTCTTAATGAAACGTCCTTTACATACATGCCTTACATGACACTTATCGAAAGAAAGTGATATAAAAAAAAAACTAGCCACATACACTTTAGAAGATAACTTAAGTAGAATTCTGGTCCAAAACACAAAAATTTTATATAAATCAAATTGCCAAAAACATTACGGTGTGAGAGAGGCACTGCACATAAAACCTCTCGCTGTCACTATCCACTTCACCTTATTTAACAGTGGTAATGCGATATTGTAAGTTTTTTTTGTTTTAAAAACCAAAAAAAAAACAAAAAAAACAATGGAAAGATGCTCATTTTAATTCCAGCCACGCTCAACAAGCGAAACTCGGAATAATCGCTCCTAGCAGTATTCTAAACAGCACAAAAACACAAACATGAAGAGAAATTAACTCCTAAATAAAAAAAATCCTCTTGAAAATGGCCAAAGAAGTGGACGAAAACGTTTACTCCCGCCAAATGGGAAAAATGTAAGAATGCTGGAAAAACGAAAAAAAAATGAATGAACATTTTCTTGTCCGTCATATTCAACGAAACACGTTTAAAAGAAAGGTTGCTGCTCAAATATACATTAATATATATATATATATATATATATATATATATATATATATATATATGTGTGGATTTTCACATAATCTATGATTTGTCGGATTTCCCATCAATCTTTTATCGTTTTTCATACATATTTATACATACATTGAGAGATAGAGAGAGATAGAGAGAGATAGAGAGATAGAGAGAGATAGTGAGAGAGAGAGAGGATAGGCTGATCCATTCTGAGTGACAGGCATATATGCTTATCATTAGAGCAGGTTCACCTACGGATAAAAATGTTGGAATATTATTTGCACGAAATCCGTAACGGTTGAAAAACTTAGGGATTATATTGGAAGGACACACACACATACACACGCATACAATTCTCTCTCTCTCTCCTTCTCTCTCTCTCTCTCTTTCTGTGTACGTTTGCGCGTACGCGTGCGTGCAGGCAGAGCGTTAAATTCCGGCAGGGAGCGGGCGATTTCAAGCTCGGCTGGCGCGATCAGAAAAGACAAGTGTGGTAGGAAACAAAGCAGAATGTGAGAAGTGGGTACAGAGAGAGGGTGGGAGGGGTAGAGATAGTGAGTGCGAGGAGGAGGAGGAAGAGAGAAGAAAAAGTTGTTGGAGAAGAATGGTGGAAAAGAGGCTAAGATACGTTAAACACGAAAGAGAGTGTTCGTTCATGAAGAAGGGGACGGGGAATAACAATAGTGAACGGATTGTGTAACATCAACCGGCTTGTAAAATAGAAACGTCACGACAAAGAAGGAATTATCTGTCCGGGTGTAAGAAAGTGGGTGGGGGTTGGGATTTTTTTTCCCTTTATTTTACCAAGTTAAGCTTGTTCTGACACAAGCCCTTTTTGTAGGAAACTGAATAGAGATCTACCTAGGTAAATTGGCCTACACACGATAAACTTAGTGACCAATGCACGACAGTAATTGCATTTTCTACTAAACTTAGCTCAACCTGGCACAAAGCCACTACAATAAGCTACCTGTTTAGGCTCGAACGCAATCCAATCGCAAATTGGCTTTGTGAACTATCTGAATCATCATCAGTCTACAGTAGGACATATCTCAAAGGTAATGAGGCTTACAAGAAAAAAGAAAAAAAAAAAAAGAAAAGAAAAATCAGAAAGGAAGACAGACAGAAAAAAAAAAGAAAAAACAGCAAAGAAAGAAAAAATAAAATAAAAGAAACAAAAATTAGAATAAAAGAAAGAAGAGAAAAATTAGAAAGAGAAAGAAAGGAAGAAAGAAAAATTAAAAGGAGAGAAAGAAGTGAAAATTAGAAGAAAAATGAGAAGAAACGAAAGGAGAGAAAAATTAGAAAGAATGAAGGAAAGAAATAAAGAAAGAAAGAAGAGAAAAAATAGAAAGAAAGAAAACTTAAAGGGAGAGAAAGAAGAGAAAAATTAGAAAGAAAGAAAGGAAGAAAGAAAAAATAAAGGAGAGAAAGAAGAGAAAAAGAGAGAAAGAAAAGAAAAATTATAATGAAAGAAAAATTAGAAGAAAAGAAAAACACGTGAGAGGTGCGTGAGAAGAAACTGTTAACATAGAACTTACGGTTACATCTAGCCATTTCAACTGTAAAATAATGATACCTTGTCGCCAATCTAGTTCTGTGTTTAAATTCATAAATTCTAGGTACCATAACGGAAAGTAATATTTATTTTGAATAATGCAAAAATGTGGCACAAGGCCAAAAGTGGGGATAGGGAAGGTTGGTCTTCAATCTGTCTTATCTTAAAGTTAGCTCGCCACGATTACTGACCCAAATATGCCAAAGTATTCCTTATACCAAAACAACACATACTTACCGTTCTTACTACAGTCCCCATAATGCCTCAAGTCTCTATGAAGTCCTGGCTAGTTCCCAAATGTACAATTTGCCTTTTCTGTTTGTATAAAAATAACAACTTTTAAAAATGAAACTGTAATGAGTATTACAGTGATTACAATTTTATATACAAGAAACTAAACAAAATAGAGAAAAGTGATATTTATTCTGTTCTCTACAGAAATGTGGCACAAGGCCGAAAAGGGGATTGGGGAAAGGACGGTCTTCTTCTGTCTTAACTATAACTTAGCTAGCCGCAAACACTGACCCAATCTTACGAAACAATATTCCTTACACCAAAACAACACATTCATTCTTGCCTTTCTTACTACAACCACCATAATAGAGGAAAGTTCATCAGAACAATTACCGCGAAAGTATTTATAGAACGCTTTGTGAGGATTGAACCCACAGCATTAGCCAAATTGGTTGAAAAACTGAAATGCTAAGCGTCGTGCTACGGTACCTCCATTTTTTTAATTTACTTTTTTACTAAATGTATCTTGTCTGGCATAAGGCCACAGAAGTGTGTGACTCGATGAGGATCAAATTAACTAAAGCAGTAAATTCTTCTGCAATTCTGCGATACGGCAGGCGCCTACACTTATGTGTATGAGCCAGCGTTTGTGTGTATGCGAGCGGGCGTGCGAGGGAAAGGAGAAATTGGAATGAAGATAGAGAAAAGTCCGGAACCAGATTTTCCCTGAGGCACAAGAGTAAAAAAAAGAAATATATATATATCCCTCTTAACTTCCACCCAGCGAAAAAAAAAAAAAGTACTCGGCTTTTTCGCGCCATCTTTTTTTATTTATTGTCTGTTAACTCTTCTCTTTGTCTATTCCCTTATCTCTTTGTCTTGAAGTATTTATTTACGTTGTCTTTCCTCTTTCTTATCACCTTTTCTATCTTTCCTTATCATTTTCTATTTTCTTTCTCTATCTCCCGTTTTTTTTCTTTATATTTCTCTTTCTCCTTCTTTACCGAGTCTCCACCCAGACACTTCTTCCTTTTAGTTTTCTATCTCTCTTTCTCATTTTTTTAATGATCTTATTTTTCATTTCTATCTCTTCCTCGTCTTGTCATTTTCTAGTCTCGTTTCAGTGTGTCAGCCATTTATGTACCTTGGCGCTTGGGTGACCATGTCACTTTCAGTTCATGATTGGCTAGGCAGAGGATTTTCCCGCAGTAGGTTGTCGTTCTTTCTGTGATACACTGAAGACTATACGATCCAATCTGTCCTGATATTAAACCCATAACTGGGCGTAGAAGTGATGGGTTCATGCCTTTCTCATGAGGACTTGTGTACATGAGAATGTAACGAATCCGACTTGAATTCGAACTCGGCTCTCCCATTTCTCATTCCGAGCCGTTGTCCATTACGTTGTATATCGTAGAAGAAAGAAAAAAGAAGAGAAAAAAAGTAAAGAAAAAAAGAAAAAGAAAAGAAAAAAAAGAAAAAGAAAAGAGAAAGAAAAAAGAAAAGAAAAGAAGAAAAAGAAAAGAAAGAAGAAAAAGAAAAGAAAGAAGAAAAAGAAAAGAAAAAGAAAATAAAAAGAAAAGAATAGAAAAAAGAAAAAGCAAAGAAAAAAGAAAAGAAAATCCTATTCCTGTTTTTTCTTTGCGTCTTTCTTTCATTAGTTTACGACCATGTCATGTTCAAACATCGGTTCTCGTACGATCACCGAAGTTAAGCCAGTTAAAACCGGGTCAGTATCTAAATGGGTGACCACTTGGGAATACCATATGCAGTAACCTTGGATGTGCGAGTGGTGTAATGGTTAACGGCTCGAATTAGCGATCGGAGACACAAGTTCTAATACCAAGCTAATTTTTGTTATATTCACTTACGCATAAATATCTTTTGGAAAGGTATGAATCCACCTCTTCTTCCCCAGCTATGGGTTAATTAGTAGAACTTGCTATTTCATTATTATCGCCAAAATAATTCTTAGAATCTAAAAATATTTTCTGGCTTTAAAAAACCCACAAAGGGCTGATAAACTGTAAAATACAAATCAATCAATTTTTCTTTTGTTTATTTTCTAATTTTTCTTTTTTTCCTTTACTTCACTTTTCTTTCTTTTTCTTAGTTTTTGATTTATTTCTTTTTCTTCGTTTCTTTCTTTCTTATTTTTCTTTCTTCCTTTCTTTTTTTTTCCTTCATAATATTCTGTCATTTCTTTACCTTTTATTCTTTTTCTTTATATTTTTCTTTCTTAAGCTTTTTTTGTCTTTTACGTTCTACTTTAACTAATTTCTTTTTTCCATTTTTTTCTTTTTTTCTTTCTTGGCTTTTTTTTTTCTTTTCCTTTTTTTCTTTAAAATATTTTGTCATTTTTTTTTCTTTTTCTTTCCTTTTAATTTTTCTTTCCCTTTCATTTAATCCTTAATTCGTTCTTTCTTCTGATTATCTTTTTCTTTCTTTTTTTATTACCCTATTTTGTTTGTTTGTTTGTTTGTTGGTCTCTTTCTTTATTTATAATTCTTCTGTTATTTCTTTGTATTTCTCGGTCCTTACTGAAAATAACGAACCTCATTTCTTTAGGTGACACGAAATTCTTTATTTTATGTTTCGTTGCTAGAAAAAAAAAATGCAGAATCTTTCTTACAAAGAAAAACGTTTTAAAGAAAATATGATTTGAACGAAACGGAACGTGTCCAGCCACTGGGGACACATCGATAAGTGGTTGTATTTTCCCATTCTTTTGTAGGCTTCAACCTTACTATTTGCTTTTTAGAATAAGCGATTATTTGGAAAGGAGTCAGCGTTTGGATCCACACAATGTGTCCTGTTATTGCGGTCTTGTGTTCGACTAAGCTAAGTTTAGTAAACATCTATTTGGGATACGCCTCGCATTTTCCCCCTGGAGGCAGAGGGCGATGTTCAGCTCTAAGTTAATGCCAGGACTTCGAAGGCAGACTTTTCAGTATGGGAAGGCCTGTCTACCTTTAAAATAGTCGCAATTAAATATCTTTGTTGTGTATTCGATCCATTCTAGTCTTGTGCTGTGCTAAAGTAGGTTTAGTAAATGAGTTGATTGATTGATTTTGTTTTAACGGTTTATCAACCTTTCTTTGTTTAGTAAATGAAAAGAATGATTAAAATAATGAAAAATAATAAAAAAGAAATAAAGAAAATGAATGAAAGAGAAAGAAAGAAAATCTAAGACAGAAAGAAAAAATGAAAGAAAAAAACAAATAAAGAAAATGTAAGAAAGTGATAACGAAAGAAAGTGTAAGTCATAAAAAACTATGACTTTTGAAATATAAGCTTAAAAAATTGAAGAGAAAATAAACTATTAAAATAATGAAAATGTAAGATTGAATTAAAAACGAAGTAAATGAGCGAGAAAGAACGAACGAAAGAAAATGAAAAAAGAAAGAAAATAAGAGAGAAAATGTAAGGAAGAAAATGTGAGAAAGAAAAAAGAAAAAGGGAGAAAGAAAGTGTAAGAAAGAAAGGAAGAAAATGTAAGAAAGAAAGAAAAAAACAAAGAAACAAGCAAAAAGAAAAACAATAAGAGAGAAAAAACTAAGAAATAAAATGTAACAAAAAGAAAAAGAAGAAGAAAAAATGTAAGAAAGAAAGAAACAGAAAAGAAAATGTAAAAAAGAACGAAAAAGAAAATCGAAGATAGAAAATGAAAGAAAGAAAGAAGAAAGAAAATGAAAGAAAGAAAGAAGAAAGAAAATGAAAGAAAGAGAAGAAAAAAAGGGAAAGGTAAAAAATATATAAAAATGAAAATTTAAGAAAGAAAGAAAAAGAACAAAGAAAGCAAGAAAATGTAAGAAAGAAAGAAAAAAGAAAGAAAATAAGAGAGAAAAACTAAGAAAGAAAGAAAATGTAAAAAGAAAGCAAAAGAAAAAGGAAAAAAGAAAGAAAGAAAGAAAGAAAAAAAAGAAAATGTAAGAAGGAAAGAAAAAAGAAAGAAAATAATAGAGAAAAACTAAGAAAGAAAATGTAAAAAAGAAAGAAAAAGAAAAAAAGAGACAAAGAAAGAAAAACTGAAGAAAAATCTGAAAGTACAGAAATGAAGAGCTTAGAGAAGCGGGGGAATGAAAAAAGAATCCTAATAAAGAATAAGAGAAAACATTCGATATATATATATATATATATATATATATTCAATATATATCAAGTGGATGCATGAATGTGATATATATAACTGTGCGTGTGTGAATCTCACAAAGTTTTATATGCAACTGAACTATCAACGTCGACCCGGCAATTTAGTTGAATCACTCGAGTTCAGCAATAAATAAATAAAAAGAATAGCAATTATAAAGAGAACAGGGAGAAAAAGGTGGGAGAAAATAAAAAAAAAAACGGGAAAAAAAAAATGAGGATGAATATCCCCCGCTTTCGAAATTGCAGGAATTTCCATTGTCCTTTCCAACATTGCATGAAAGATTATGTGATGTTTTATGCAAAAGTTACATTCTCTATTTTTTATGCACACGTGGCTTATGCAAGTAAATACCCTCCCACCGCCTCTTTCACTCTCTTTTGCTCTCACACACGCATATAAAACGCGTGAGAGGGCGTGCACGTGGAAGAGTACATATATACGCAAACGGGTTTTCCAAAAAGGATATTGCACAAGTGATGTTTATTCCCAATGGAATGTATGCAGGCCTTTCTACCGACCTACCTGGCCGTCGACTGGTATGTAGAAACTTACTATGTTGAATTCAATCTGACACAAGGCCTAAATAGTAGGTCATACTGCGCTGGTCAAATTTACTGTCTTACCACCCAAGGCCAGATATCCAAGTCTACCCTGCTTTTTACCCCATAGCTGGAAGTAAAAAAAAAAAAAACAAACAAAAAAACAAAAACAAACGGATCCATGCCTCTCCCAAGGGTATTTATGCCAAAGTGTATGCAACAGACTAGCGCAGAGTTTGAACCGGCTCTCCAATTCCACGCCGAATTGTGTTACGCTACTTGAATTAACTTTTTATCGTTTTCCGAAGATTTATTTTCAAGTTATTCTATAAAAATATTGGGGCATCGTAATGGTTAGCAAGCTTGTCTCGCTAGATCAATTACGATTGACTTGTGAGTTCGATCCTCACTGTATGCTCCGCCCATTTGGCTTTATATCACATTTACGCTACGCTTACAGAATCATTCTGGGTACTTTGACGTGGTGAAATGGTTAGCAAGCTTGTCTCGCGAGGTCAATTACGACTGAGTAGTGAGTTCGATCCTGAGTGGATAATCCATACATTACGCTTTGTGCCGCATCTCATCTACGCTTAGAGAATCATTTGGACACTTCGATGTGGTGCAATGGTTAGCAAGTGTGTCTCGCTAGATCACTTACGATTGAATTGTGACTTCGATTCTCACTGGGTGTCCCATACTTTCGGTCTTATGCCACATCTCATCTACGCTTAGAGAATCATTTGGACACTTCGATGTGGTGCAATAGTTAGCAAGTTTGTCTCGCTAGATCACTTACGATTGAATTGTGACTTCGATTCTCACTAGGTGTCCCATACTTTCGGTCTTGCGCCACATCTAAGCTACCCTTAGAGAATCATTTGGACACTTCGACGTGGTGTAACGGTTAGAAACCTTGTCTCGTTAGCTCAATTACGACTGAGTTCGACTGGGTGCTCTAAACTTTCAGCCTTGTGCCATGCTAACAGCATCTCCGCAGCAGCTACCTATGATTAAACAGAGATTAACACAAGACAAAATTAAACTGAAACTTATAACGACAATGGCTGTAGTGTAAATGATTAACAAGCTGGACATGTAGATCATTAGTTGTGAAATTGATTCTCACCGAGTGCCTCATATATGTAGCCTTGTGCTAAATTCCGTTAAGCTTAGAAATCAAAAGTTTTAAGCCCACAGTAAAAGTTGAATTTACTGTCATCACAGCTTCAAGGACTTTATAACGTAAAACAAACTGATACAAAGTTTTTGGGGAAGATTATGCAACGCCAAGCCTGTGCTGCTGTAAATAATGCCGTGTTTCTAGGAATTCGGCTTTAACTCCTAACACGTGAATATTACAGCTTGCAAGCTCTAGTAGCTATCGTTTCGGTCACACAAGCCGTTCAAGGTGATTTTGATGTTGATGTTTTTTTTAAAGATTTACTTAACACATGGTTCAAGAGCCACTCAGGGTATAGAGAGTTTCTTTTAAAATGGTAGTAATGAATGAAATGTGTGATATGAATGATAGAGAAGGTGGTAGGAAACGAAAATTATGAGGATAAGGAGGATAGATAACGATTGACGCTTGACTTGAATTGGTTGTCGTGAGATCGAATACTGACAGATGCTTCACATCACCGTTCACCTCCATTATGGGGATCGAATACGAATTTTGGCTATTTTATATATAAAGAACAGCCACATTTTCGAAATTTTATTCGCACAGGGCTTACAGTCACATCACATTGAAACACCGGTTCGCGTGCAATCTCCAAAGTTAAGCAATGTCGAGTCTGGTCAGGTTCTGTAAGAATGTGGTCTAATGGATAATGGCTCGGAATTGTTAATCGGAAAGCCGACTTCCAATTCCTGTTGGGCTTTTTATATACACCTAAGTGCAAATACTCTTGGGAAAGGTATGAATCCACCACTTTCCCCCACCTATAGGTTAATTAGTAAGATTTGCATCACTAAATATTATAATATCAGAAACAAAATCTTTACAATATAAAATATTTTCTGGCTTTAAGTTAAGAAGCCACAGAAAACGAATCAATCAACCAATTTATTTGCACACTAGAAAAAAGATCAATAAATTTAATATACATAAAATGTCTATTCTTTTTAATAAGACACGTTTAAAGGAGTGACAATTACTGACAAAATATACATATATATTAGTTACGTAAATATTAAATCGCCTAAACACTTCTTTAAAAGAACCTGATGTCTAGTTAACATTACTGCTTTTTGCTTTTTTAATCTGCTTTCTTGCTGCTCAGCGCTGACTTGCATATTCTTGCTTATTCAGGCATTACGATTGACATACATTTATGCGTAGAGACATATCCACCTGCACAAAACAATTTAATTGAAAAATAAACATGTAAAGAGTACTTCATTGTTCTTAGTATAATATGGTCGGTGCCGTTCCGTTACAAAAGGAACTTAACTAATAGCGACTCGACTTCCTCGTCTATGTCAATCGACGGCAAGAAAATGCGAAACGACATTCGTTGTTCTTGTTGTGTCCGGATTTTTTAAAGATGGCGACTGGCAATCCAGAAATAAAATACGAATGACAAGAAGCGCAAAGACGCAACGAAAAAAAAAATGAAGTTAACTGAGCAGAAATATAGGGAAGGGAGGAGAAGAGAAACTAAAAGTTGAATAAAAGGTGTATGGGGAATATTTCGAGAAACCAAAGTAAATAAAAGTATGGCCGCGAATAAAGAAAAATATAGTCAAAGTGTAAGTCGAGGACAGAAGAAGGATAAAGGCAGTAAATGAAAAAGAAGAAAAGTTGCCTGAATGAAAAAAATAGAAGGAGAGAGTGAAATACAAAAATGAGAGGAGAAAAGAGAAAGGAGAAAAGAGACAGTGAAACAAACAAAGAAGAAATCTGATGGTGGCCAAAAACGTTGGAGGGAGGGTGATGGAGAATGAGTAAAAGAAACCAGACTAAATAAGACGAAGAAAAAACAACGGTGCAAAATGAAATAAGCAAGGAAACTCTTAAAAGATGAACCAAAGAAGTAAGCAACCAAAATAAAATTTATTTCGAAAATAAATGAATGTTTTGTATGAAATATATGAAAAATTATAAAGAAAAAAATATACCAAAAATCTATGAGTAATGTATGAACAATATAAAAATGTTTTGTATGAAATATATAAATAATATGTATAATATATGGAAAATGTATAAATGCTTTGTATGAAATATATAAAGAATATATATAATATATGGAAAATGTATAAATGCTTTGTATGAAATATATGATTAATTGATTCGTTTCCTACAACTTATCAATCCTTTGCATGTAATTTAAACCAGAAAATATTTTTAGATTCTAAGATTTTTTTTTAGGCGTGGAGATAATGGTTTAGTGATACAAGTTTGACTAATTAATCCATGGATGGGTGTGTAGAAACAGGTGGATTCATACCTTTTGTAAGGGTATTTGCACATAAGTGAATATAACAAACGCAACTAATAAATACACATATACCTATGTTCGTAGCGCAAGTTTCATGGTTTCCCAAGACGTCAGGCACAAATGGCAAAATGAGTCACTTATTACAGTTATTTAGTTTATATTCACATTTTACATATATATATATATATATATATATATATATATATATATATTGCGTAATTGCGTATTTGGGCAGCAATCCCTCTTTATACAAGTCTCATTAAAGACGACCGACAAGGTACTACGATTAAACTTTTTATTTAATTTTTCTTGTGTTTTCTTTTCTTGCCACAAAATTTGTAAAAACAGACCAATTATTCTACATATCTGAGCACTTTCCTATACTGAGTATATTTTCAGTTTGATATAGCCGTAACCCGATTATATATAAAGAAACTGATATAAAAAATGGCTCAAATTGTTATTTCATTTTTTAATTAATTGTTATATCTTTACATTATATAAAATAATACGAAATTTATTGATATATATATATATATATGTAGAGAGAGAGAGACAGAGAGAGAATTAAACTGAGATAGATAGATAGATAGATAGATAGATAGATAGATAGATAGATAGATAGATAGATAGATAGATAGATCTATGTATGTATGTACAAAGTATGTATGTATGTATATATATATATATTTTTCTTTAACTTTTCTAATATTCTTCCTTTCCTTGTCTCTTCGCCCCTTAATCCTATTCTGGTTTTTGTCTATTGATCTTGACGGAAGATTATAAAAGACGTTAGTTCTACGAAAAACATGGCGGCTTTCATTCACCAGTGAGATGAGAGTATTAAAGTAAGCATTCTCTTTAGTTCACATTTATTGGTGTAAACTCATGTTCTTCTGTGATCCTCTATTTGGTTGCCAGCACATATCTAAGCATTAGCTTTATGTCATGTTTGCCAGTGCAGCTCTAATCTCCCCATTCTTGTCTATCAACGGACTGAGATAATCTAAACGCTATCATGGTTCTTTTAGCAAGATTATAGAACGACGCGAATAGAGTCGGACATTTTAGTACATTTTCTTTCCGACAAAGCCAACAAATCAAAAATCAGAATAATCTCCATAGAAGCTATTTGTTAAGAAACGAAATATATTTTTCTGATAATACCGCAAATAATATTTTCCTGTCGAAATTCGTAGTTGAGTAGCATTTTTTCAGACATTAGCCAAATTGATCATCATTTATCAACATTTTCAGCGTTGGAATCTTATCCAAGTTTTGAATAAAGTGTATTTATAATATGTACTTCTAGTTTTCAAAGGAAAATACTGTAACTACACACTCTTAAAAATGGCTGATAGGATCATCGATATTTTAATATGTATTTATGCATAAAACATACTGTATTAAATTAATCATTTTTCCTTGAGTGTAAAGTAGAATGTATATTGAATTAAAAAAATGTTATGGTATGGTGATATACTAATCGTACCTTGGATGTGGCACAAGGCCTAAAGTATGGGACGCCCAGTGAGGATCGAATCTCATAATACAATCTTAATTGATCTACCGCGAAAAGCTTGCGAACTAGTACACAACGACGAAGTGTATTAGTGATTTCCTAAGCCTATCTTAGATGTGGTACAAAGCTGAAATTGTGGAGCAAACAGTGAGGATCGAACTCACTATTCACTCGTAATTGTTCTCACGAGATAAGCTTGCTAATCATTACACCATGTCGAAGTGCCCAAATGATTTTCTAAGCGAAACTTAGATGCGGCACAAGGCCTAATGTGTGGAGCACCCAGGGAGAATCGAACTCGTTCCTACAAAAGGTAGAGAAAGAAAGCGATAAGAAAGAACCTAACATCAACTTCAAGAAGACATAATGTATGGTCATTAGCAAAAGGATGAGCCCAGATCAAAGATAATAAAATCAACAAAGCACAAATAATTTAAATATCTGGGAAGTGTTCAAACAGAAGACGAAACATTCGACACTGAAACCTGAAGATGCATTGGGACACCAAAAGATGCCTTCCAAAAGCTAAACAGAGTATTAAGATATAGAAGAACTTCATTAGAAATAAAGAAAAGATTAATGAACAGTCACGTGGTATCTGTCCTACTGTATGGCAGTGGATGCTGGACAGTTTCCTCAAAGATGAAGAAGACACTTGAGACAACAGATACTGAGGATGCTATGTACCGAACATGTGAACAACGATGAGGTTTTAGAGAAAATGAAAACAAGAAGGAAACTTATATCTAACATCAGGAAGAGACAGCTGAAATTTCTAGGATAGAAGAAGGAGGGCTTGGAAAATATGTTACTCATAAGACGGATTAAGTACAAGAGGGACAGAAGAAAACATCGCATAACATAATTAACGCGCTCGAGAAAATGGATGGCAGAACAGGATTTAGAAATAACGAAAAGTCATAATTTATTTTGAGCTGGAAGTGACTGGAAGTTGTGGAGAACTCTGTCCTGAGGGGACGTGTCACATGTTAAGAGAGATGGCAGATCAGTAATTGTTTCCATGTTTTCAAGTTTTTTTTAGCATAATGAAAAAATGATTGAAAAACAGAACGAAAACGTGAAAAAAAATATCGTCCATTAGTCTTTTGGTATAAAAACAAATTGAAATATTATTAATAATTCTTTTTTTTTTTGCCATGTCTCTTCAATAAGTAAGCGATTATGGCTGTCCACAACTTCCTATCTCTTGTAGCTCTTATAGATGTTTATCTTTTTGCCTTTGATTCACATAAGCTGGTCAGATATGGGCTGCCTCTTGTTCCTTTTGCTATCGTTAAGTCCTGTGAATGTCAAATTCTCCAATCTCACCTTACTTTTTACGTGTCCAAGAAATTTCACCTGTCTTTTTCTGATACTGAGAACAAGTGTCCATTTTGTTTCCACTTTCCTTAAGGCTTCTTCCTTGTTTACGCGCTTCGTCCATGGTATTCTCAGCATCCTTCTGTAGATCCACATTTCTGATACCTCTAGTTTTCTATCTGGGAGGAGATTGTCCAACACTCACGGCCATATAGGAGGATTGATATTACGTAGCAGTTTAGCACTCTTTACTTTGTTTCTAACAAGATTTTCCTGTTTCTTAATACTTTGCTTAGCTTTTATAATGCACTTTTACTATCACAGTGTGCGTTCGGATTACGAATTATGTTACAGATATGAAAATAAATAAAATCAGTGTAATGTGTACAAATAACTTCTGTGATGTTAACGAACACTCGTTTGACACTTTTGTGACGTCAACGAATACTCGTTGTCACTTTCGTAAATCTCGTTTTAGTAGAGACTTTGTAATCGCAGATACAACTACAGTACACTATCGAATATCACTCACACTAATAGATAATACTCGCTCGAATAGTAATCGGTATAGTGGTCCGAACAAAGAACAGTGTAGAGAAGAGAATAGAGAATAGCGGTCCGTATAGTGATAGATGAGAAATAGTGATCAATTAGATACGCACAATATATGCGTTTCCTCTATGGCCATGTGGTCGGCAGCGACACTTTATTCCTATATAACAATAACTTATAAATTATGTGATCTACATTGACTCTTAAATTCTGAAAAGGATGTTTTTATCATCAGTATCACCCCAAGCAAGGCAATACAGTCATTAAGACGCAAGAGGTTACAGAGGATGGAGGAATTAGGAACAGAAACATTGGTAATGTTGTGGATTCCGGGATGAAATCCGCTACCAATAAATAACAAACGCCAAGAATGAATATAGGAAAATAATGTATTAACGTAATAATACAAACTGGTAATGCAGGTTAGTAGTTCCAGGAATGCGGGTTAGTAGCAAAATATATATATACAGTCTTTGGTATTGAAATATCGATGTATGACTTCTTACTGAGTCTACGTGCTCGCTCACTGTGACTCCTACAACCCTGTTACCTCACCCTCACTCTTCCGGTTACCTACAACCCTTTTACTCTGTCACTATGGACTCGACTCGACTCCTCGGTCTTGCTCTCTCTGGTCTTCACGTAGCCGTAGTATATGTATATACTGGGTGAGTCCATTTGTGTAAAAAGGGTGGGGGGACCCCTCAACAGGTAATGAGAGGTAAAAGAAAAGAACAATCAGGAGGACGGGAGATAGCGATTGACACTGCATTTAAATTTTTGCAGAATAAAGTTGGTCGTGGTGCCACAAGCAAGAAGTGCGAGAAAAATGTTAGTATAGAAGTTACAGCTGCATCTAGCCTGCTAAACTGTAAATTGATGAGACCTCACCGCCAATCTAGTACTGCGCTTAAATTCATAAATTCTAGGTACCATACTCATCCGTACAATTATCATGAAAGTATTTCTAAAAAAAAAAAGGCACAGAGAGGCAATCTTACGGCGATGGGCAAGTGTCTGAAGCCGAGCTGCTAGATCATAACCTATAATATTGATGATTGTTCTTTACACTTTTTCTGCAATGACAACGCGAAATCCTTTTCTTTTGATTGCTTATTGGATTACACATTAATATTGTAAGATTTCACATACTTAGCTATTCCAAACTTATTTCTACATACTTTGTTACCAATTGGGCAAGATGGTCATAGAGAAGAGCGGTCAATTGGAGGTCGACTTGTAATAGCAATGGATCAGTCAGTCCGTCGCATGGCACACTTTTTATCGGAAATATTCATTGTATAATGTTCGCTCTAAATATTTAATGGTGAAATCGCTTGCTTAAACCTATGCACCAGTAGAGAATATCGAGATTGAATGGTAAATCTTTGTTGTGGAAAATAAATTATATGTGAACATAGTGACGAGTACATACGTACACGCATGCATATATGTACGCATATGCACACACACACACACATATATATATATATATATATATATATATATATATATATATATATATATATATATCTATATATATATATGTGTGTGTGTGTGTGTATATATATATATATATATATATATATATATATATATATGTGTGTGTGTGTATGTGTGTGTGTATCATTATGTTAAAAGGTTAAGTGATTTAAGAGTTACCTGGCGCTCTGTAATTCTTTTACTTACATTATTCACTTCTGTTTCATCGTTTACGTCTTTGCAAATCATACCTTCAAAATTTTAAAGTAAGTTTTACTTTTTAAAACATTGTTTAGGGTATTGGGTTAAACTAATAAAAGTTTAAACACTTACGGCATTAATAATAAAATTTAAAGTAATATAAAAATTTAATAATAAAATAACCACCACGATATCAATTAATAATAAAGAATAAAAATTAAAAAAAAAAAATATTAAAATGGTTGTGTGTGTGTGTGTGTGTGTCTGTACGTTTATATATTGGATCGGATTTCCTACATTTTTCAACCGATTTCAACAAAACTTCACAGGACTACGTAAAATTACCTTGCGGTGGCTCTGACAGCGCCAAAAATTGGAAAAACACAATTATTTTTGCACGAAATCAATTTGAAAACACGATTAAGAGGCATCGCGAGAATGAAAGGGGGACAACTCATGTGTGTGTGTTCGTTTATATATGGGATCGGATTTCCTACATTTTTCAACCGATTTCAACAAAACTTCACTTTTTTTTTGACAGGTAGTGTTTCTTATTCTCTTGCACA